ATGTATGTCTCTGTCCTGAGTGTTCTTGCGTTTAGTTGTAATATATTCCTGTCACGTAATGTTGTCATTTTAGCGGTATGTTTAACATTGCCATATAAGCGGGAGGTTTGGCTAGCTATAAAACCAGGTCCAATCTACCATTTTTTCTTAAAATGTCCTGTACTAAGTCGGGAATATGGCAGTTGTTATCAAATAGTCCGTTTCTATGTATGTTGGCGTTTGTTTTTGTAGCAGTTCAGTGTTTATGTTGTTCCGTGGTTTTCCTCTTATAGTTGATGTGGTTCCCTCGGTTTTGGTTTGTGACCCGGATTTGTTTTAGTTAAATCGATTTATGACTATTGAACAACGGTATACTACTGTTGCCTTTATAGGTCTATAATTTTGCGGATCATGATTATTTCTTTTGTTTTTAAATATCAAATGTATATTTCCAGATAACCAATTGTCTGGTATGATTCCTGTGTCAGAGATTAAATTGAATAATTTCACATAGATGTTTATAATTTCGGTTGACGCACATGTAGCTTTGAAGAATTCATTTATAATGAGGTCATCAACAATGTCCTTGTTATTTTTAAAGTTTTTTTTATATTTCTTAGTATTTCATCGGGCGTAATCACTTCATTTAACATATTAGTTTGGACATTATTTTCCATACCCTCCGTGTTGAGTTCCTTATCTTCTACTTTACCTCCTTTATTTACATCTTTGAAGAAATCATAGAGTTTTTCAATTGAAATATTAGGTTGCTTTTTCTTTGATCCATTATTTATAATGTTTCAGTACTCTTTTGGGTTAGTGGTTTTCATTGTTTTCATTTCATTTCGAACATTTTTCTTAAAGTTTTTATATTCTTGTTCATGATGTTTTTATATTGTCTTTCACTATGTCCTTTATTTTCCTTGTTAACAGCGGATCTGTTGAGTTTATATTTTCTTCTGTGTTTTCTATCAGTTTTTCTAGCAATTCTACAATCTTCGTTAAACCAGGGTTTTTCATAATGAACTATTATATTCATAGTGCCATTTTCGTTTTGTAACTTGTTCTCAAAAGTACCAAAAGTTTTCTAAGCAGAATTTACAAATATGTTTGTAATATTTTCTACAGCTTAGTTAATAGTGTTAGAATCTACGGCTACAGCATTTGTTACTTCAAGGTAATTTTCTAATTCATAAATATTTTCTCTGTCTAAATTCAGGATAAATTCTTCTTTCTTGTTTATATCCCACCTTTTTATTTTCTCTTCGCTGATTGGTCTATCGGTCCAGATTCGCTATTACATGTTGGCTTATTTATGTCAATATCAATATCTACAGAACAATGCACATCAGAGTGTAGACAACTAAAATCTAAAACTTTGGAATTTAGCGACCCCACGAGGTAATCCACTACTGCAGCATTTTTGCTCGTTAGTTCCCCCGTGATTTTGTCTTTAATGTTACCATTTATTATATACATATTTGTAAATTTGCAATATTTAAAATAAAATAAAGTCTAGTAAAAGTTTCCAATAACTATTTTTGTTTTATCTTTATTATTTCTAGCCGTCGGTATGTTATAGATTTCAAATTTATGTGTGTCGTTTTCTACGAATTCCGGTAAATTCAGAAATATCATTTTCGTCTATAGGGACAAAATCAGCATCAGTTGAGGTTTACTGTTGAAATCGCCGGTTAAGCACATATATTTGTATTTATTTGAAAACTTTAGAATATCAGTTTCGATTTCGCGAAAGGCGTCTGGAGAACTATACTTTGTGTTTTCTGGTTGTATATATACAGAACCAACGACAATGTTAGCATCTAGTTTAGTGTATAATGATATTTTGAACCATATAACATAATTACTATCACTCGATAGGAATTGTATATTTCCGTCTAATTCTTCTTTATAAAGAACTATTAGTCCATCCGATTTTCTAAAAGTCATATCATCTCTGTTTTTCATTTTACTCATAAAGCCAGGTAGGGCAATTTCATCACAGTTGTCAGTTTTGCTTTCTTGAAGACATAGAATTTCATAATTTTGAAGCAGTTCTATAAATTTAGGGTATAGTAGTTGTTTCTTTACGCCACAGACATTTAAACTCAATATATTTAATCTGCAAACATTATTTTTAAAAGACACACAATTACATATTTTTGTATTTTCATCAGTTACCCCTTCTTCGAGTCCCTTTGATTCTGATTCTGATCCAGGTCTTACTCGTTTATGTGATTTTCGGAAATCCTTTGGTGGTGTTCCCGAGAGGGAAGTTGAATGTTGGAGTCTTTGTTCAGAACTTGATTCTTTATTGGCGTCTGGTTTGTAAATTATGCCATAAATAAACAGTTTATCTTTAGCCTTTGTTATCCTTTTGTCCGAATCTGTGGACAGTTTCAAGTGCAATTTCTTTTCTTACATGATTAAGTTCTTCCCTCATGAATGTGTGCAAAACTAGTTAAGTGTCTTCTTCTGCGGACTCTTCTAGATCAGAAAATAGCAAATTGATCTTCATAGATTTGCATTGTATACATATGATTTTCTCTTTTACTTCTGTGATGTTATTTTCTGTATCTTTTATATTTACCACATAATTCTGCAATTGTCTGAGGTTGTTGCCTTGGGTAGCATTTTCATCCCGTAATATTGCGTATTGGTTAAGCAGAAATGTGGCACTATCCTCTCGCTCGTTTGGTCTCGTCTTTCAATTGATGATTTCACCATTCATCTTATCTACCTTTTTCGTTAACTGATTTAGAGTTGTTTCGATAATCTCAATTCGGTTTGTTAAGTCCTCAATCACCTGTTAATCGGCTATTAATTGTTGTTAACAGTTAATCAGACATTTTGATCGTACTTTATTAATTCTCACTGTAGATACGTTGTATATTCAATAGGAAGAAAATTTGTTTTAATTTTCCGACGTCCCTAAGACGTCTCTACGGTACAACAATGGAACAATGGATTCTTTTGAAGAGAAGAAACAGTCGCTAAATATTTTCAATGATAATGTTCGTTTTAACACTATCTAAGTCTTGTAGCGTTTACACAGTGATGTCCTATAAATAAATGACCAACTGGCCTGTTTATGTTTTTTTCATGTATCCTTTTAACATGGGAATAATTAAATTATAGAACTGCCCATTTGTACGCAGCCTCCTACAGTAACCTCATCCGGTCATCTTATTTGTGGTGGTATTTTAACGTAAATTCTTTATTGCATGAATTGATCTCAAAGTATGAGAAGTATTCAAATAATTTTGAATTCATTTACTAGAAATTGTTAAAAACAAGTCAACGACATAACAAACTTAGCCAAAAAAAAAACATGCAGTATAACAAGGGAAACAAAGAAAGAGGGAAAACCTCCCATTAAGTAGTCCTACCGATAAAGTAAAAGACATATTTCGACAAATTAAGCGTAGTTTTGGGACAACATTAAAGGGGCTAATTTGATGTAAAACATAAAAATATTCTTTAAATTGTATTTTTATGATTAACTCTGTAAAAAGCATTTTTCTGGTTACAATGTATACTCTCTTGACGTTATTTGGTTCGGGTTATACAACCTTTCAACCTTTCTTTTCTTTATAAGGACATTAATTGTATAAACAACTCTTCCCAGATTGTTTTGTTTAAGAAAGTTTGGATTGTAGCTTAGTCAAATCTATTAATTCAAAGTAAAATGTATTGTTTTTGTTTAAATGATTACGCTTTTTCATCGTTAAGGATACCGAGAGCCGCACATTGAAACAAGCGACTTTGTAAAAAACGTGAGAAATAGACCTTAGGCTGCCACTTTGGCGATAACATCAATTTGGAATTATTCTTTTCATAAAAAAAGTAATAAGAAAGGGCTAAATAACAAGCCATACCAGCCTGCATTTTGTTGCATTACATTATTTACTGGTCTAATGTATAAGTCTCAGCTCTTTAGTGCATAAAAATATGCAAATAACATTTGATTATATTATGCGTCCGAAGCGCTTATTTGGAATAATTTTCATCAGGAAAGCTCAAATGAAATATTTGAAAGCAAAGGATGTATAAGTGTCGAAACACGTAATCTATGTATAAGACATAAAAGACCTATTTGAACATAGGCCAGCTTTACATGAGGGAGTTGAAACCTAAGTTTCTTAATAATAAACCTAACCTGTTTTTGGAACTGTATATGTCAATACTTTTAAGATGACAATACCAAATCATGTTTATTTTTTTGGAGATTAAAGTATCTTTACTAATACTTAAAGTAACAAGAAAAGAATCAAGGGACAAAAACTTACTAAGATATGCCTTCAGTTTATAGCAACTCGGTTGCAAACAAACTAAATGGTGACCCTCGGCATTAAAAAACTACGTTTTTGAAGCAAAGTCAGATTTTTAAAGCTCATTTTAAGTTTTATTGCTTATCTTTGCTCCCAAACTTGCATCTAAATTGTTTTAATTTCATTTTGTAGTTTAGAAATCTGTTTATCTGAATATACTAGATTTTTAATTCACTTAATTTTTTGACGAAAAAGGCAGTCAATTGATTTATTTCCCAATTGATGTTAATGTAACCTATTGTGCATGAATCTTTCTTAAAACAGGATTTGAAATTATTTTTATTTCATTTAAAACAGGTTCAAAGTAAATAGGTTATTTTTAAATAAATGAAATGAGCAAATTAAGACGTATTGCAATGATTATACGGAATATATATTTGTTTAATGTCCCTATTTACATTAGAAATAACTTTTTAATGTGTATAATAAAATGTAAGACTATAAAAGTACCAAGGATCATTTACATATGTAATCACGATTTTTAAAATAATTGTTAAGTTTTTACTTTGATAAGAAATTATCAATTTGTGATATTTTAATTACATTTGGTACAAATGGACCAAGGTACACAAATTTTTAAATATACGTAAGTTGCTTTTTCATCCGTTTTACTTCTTTTTGTCAACATAAAACCAATCGGAAGCTATTTAAATACCTTGACCAGGAATGACGTTTTATTAACGTAGATTATCAACTGCAATCGGGTATATAAGTAGAGTTTAGTTTGGAACTACTACGGACGGATCAACTAAATCAACTAATAATGAATTTTAGTTGCTTCATTTTGTTTTTTCTTTTTACTGCAGCAGTCTCTATCATTAACGGTAAGAATTTATATATCTATTTTGTATACGATAAATAATAATTGTTGCAATTACTTATCTGACATGAAGATTGCAGCCCAATGTTTAATTTATCCTATTCTCTAGTGTACAAGTATTAAAATCAACAAAAGTCTTTATATATGTTTAGATATTCTCATAATTTGGGTATTTTGTATTTTAGGCATTTTCAAAAATTCCTGTACAGGCATTTTATATATTGACTTAAATTTTTTTTTTTGGGAATTTGACAAAATGCCTGAAATTATTATATTCATTTTATTTATCTATTATTTATTGTTTACGCCATACTCAATTGTGTGGGTTTTATATAAAGTCTTACTTTTTTTATGTAAAAAATTCTGATAATTAACATTTTGACATTTTATTGTTTCACAATTTGTATTTTAGGTTTTTTTTTAAATAGTTTATTTAATAATATATATATATATAAGGTCTTATAAGCCTATTTAGGCTGGGTATTTGTCTTATTTCATTACTGTGCAATGCATATTATACAATCTGTAGACAAGCATGTGACACTTTAATAAAATAAATTATTATTATTATTATTATTATTATTATTATTATTATTATTATTAGGAAATGTTCACAAAAACTGAGACACTGAAAGTATTGGTTAATAGAGCAATTTTTTATTTGATAATTACTAGTTATACTTTATTATTTTCAATATCCACAAGCAGTGAACGTGACATTTATTTGTTGATAAACGAAAGTTTGTTCACGTTTCTCCACTATTTGATAATTAAACTAAAACAACATTAAGGATTAGGTGGTCCTCTTAAGGACTGTCATCTTGATATTTACCTGTAATTCACCTGTATCAGTTCTTAACTAAAATATTGAAAAAAGGGGTATTGTTTAAAGATCATATAATTTAAAACATTAACAAAACATATTTAATTTTTTTTTTACAATAATTGGGTTTTTTTTCATATATTTTGTTGAATATAACCAGAAAATGTTACGTAATTATTTTTATCCGTGTTTGAATTACAAAATTAAAAAGTTATTCAACAAAAAAGAATAACAAAAAAAGTAATGTTCTTGGTATGCTTAAGCAGACGGAAAAGTCAGTCGTATATCTGTTCACTTTTTTTTCACGAAAAAGAGAGAATACATCACGACGAGAACTGTAGGGTGTTTAACTGTAGGAACTGGCTTGTTGAATCGTGAGCTACAAGCATTCTCGATTTGTCACGTAAGCCTTTGACAATAAATGCAAGCTGACTGAGAAATTTAAATATACTACATCTTTGATAATAAACAGCGTTTGATACTTTTATATAAGCTTAATGACTCGAGCTTTTATAAAAGCTCTCAGAATATAAAATGAATATTTTTATTCAAGATCGCAACATTGTAATCAATAATACATTATTATGGAAAATAGAGAAAAATATATGAAAACAAAGTAAAATAAAATTTACAGCTCTGTGCTAGATAATATCGACTTTTAAAATCTTGGGAAACTATCTTTTTTAAATATGAAAAGAACAATTATTGTAAAAAAAATTTATGTTGTGTTAATATTTTACAATAAATCTTCAAACAATACCCCTTTTAACAATATTTTATTAAGAACTATATATATATATTATTCTGAAAAAGACCTTTGTTGATACAGAAACACAGAGACTTACATAATTATATTATAAGACATATGATACATATACATGTGATGAGGTAGCAGCAGATAAATTCTTCTTAGAGAAGAACAGAATGCATAGGTTTTAAGGCTTACTTTTTATCAGAGAGATCCATTTTTTTATTTATGATTCTTATGAACTTGCACGACTTTTTAAGTTTTGATTGTTTTGAAAAATGCATAACTGCTTTAAACTTTAGGTTGTTAATGTTGGTAAAGTATTTTCTATCAATACATTCTTTCCTTTCTTCTAAAAAATATGTACATTCTAAAATATAGAGAAAATCATCTCTAATTTCATTTATATTACACAAGTTACATGTTCGATGTTCTCTGGGTATGTTTTCCATCTACCATATTCAATTAGATGCTTGTGATTTACGGTTCTAAATTTACAAAGAGGGAAAACGTCTTTATCGTCTAGCTCATTGAAATAGTCCTCGAAAGCGAAACTTTCTTTATGAATGCAATAGTTAACCATTTTGGGACTGTTATTAATATTTTAACTCCAAGTTTGAATAAATTGATCTTCGAGACTTGTTTTAAAGTTTTGATATGTCCATATGTGAGATAGACCACATTCAAAAGTTGGAAATATGATAGAGCTTCCTTTTCCTTGTCTTCTGGTCAGTCATCGGTTTCTATAGCGAGGAGTCTTCAATGTTCTCATTGGTGTCCGTGTTCCTATTACAATGATTTAAGGCAGTATTTACAATTTTTCCTATACTTTCAACACTTTCTTCGATTATTTTGCTGTTGATTTGAATTCCTTTAGCAGCTCTTAATGTTCTTGTACTCGTGTCACTTCTGATGACATTTGTGCGTTAATGTCCTCTATTTTCCTAACATCTGTCTCTATTTTTTCAATTTTTTCGTTCAGATGAAGTAGATTGTTAAGTATTCCGATCAGCACAGTTTTTGTTTCGATATCATCGGCTTTGCCTACTAGCGTTGATTTAATCTGTTGTAGATCGTATATTCCGATATCGTCCATTTTGTTTTCTTTTCTGAAACAGGTGATTTACATGTAAACATCAAGATGCCATTCCTAAGATGACCCTCTAATCCTCAATATTGTTTTAGTCTAATTATCAAATGGTGGAGAAACGTGAACACACCAAACGAAAATCCCTTTAGAGTGCCTTCCACATTCCAGAAAGTTGTCAATTTCATTAACACTTGTTACCTTATTTTGTTTCATCCAGTGAGCTGAAAAAGGGTATGACCTTTAAATGAATGAACGAATGAATGATTTTATTCTCATAAACTAGAAATAGCTACAGAGAAAAAACAGTTCATATATAATACATATTTTGTTTTGCCTGTGTGAAAAAAAAAAAAAAAAAAAAAAAACAATATTATAGTATTACAGTTCCTCCAACCAGGTGAGCCGACTTTTATTGATATGTATCGTATAAATCTACACAATTTTTCGAGTTCAACAACATTTTCAGATGATAATATATGATTAAATTTAATACGGTTTTACAATAATGTGGTAAATATTTTTCTCTTTCTATATTGCATGGCATAATGTTGTTAAAATCAACGCCAATATCTGTAGAGCTGCAGAGGTGACAAGATCTTTCCGATCTCTGCACAGTTTGCCACCTTTCCGTCTCTACAGGCAAACGATGATTTCCACATCTAAATTTACACAAAGTATATAAAAAATTAAAAGGCAAAATCGATAAATACTTTTTAAATTTGAATTTCAGTCTTGTAAATTCTATAACATAGGATTAATTTAAATCTACAAACCACAACTCTTGTCAAAATTCGTCTTTTAGCTATTGTTCAATATTTAATTTATTTCCAATACCATAATTGTTATAATTAATGTATAATATTAGAAAAAGAAAGGCGAAAGATACCAAAGGGACACTCAAACTCACAAGTCGAAAACAAACTGACAACGCCATGGCCAAAAAAGAAAAAGACCAACAGACAAACAAAAGTACACAAAACACAACATAGAAACCTAAAGACTGAGCAACACGAACCCCACCAAAACTGGGGGTGATCTCAGGTGCTCCGGAAGGGTAAGCAGATCCTGCTCCACATGTGGCACCCGTCGTGTTGCTCATGTTAGTACAAACCCGGTAATAAGTCTAATTCGGTAGGTCACATACGGGAAAAGGGGGACGGGATTGTAGTTTCGATATCAGGAACATATCCGCTATCATCTGTGAAACGGATATTCCGTAATGGTCAACCAACTCGTAATGGCGTCCGTAAAATTTACGAAGGGATGATTTCAACTTCACCACTTGGAACTCTTGGTTTAATAGCTTCCTTGAGAGCAGAAACCCTCTTTTAAGGAAATCATGATTGGAAATACAAGCCCTGGAGTATCGTATCAACTGGGAGATATATACTCCGTATGCAGGCCCTGCTGGAAGGTTGCTACATCAAAATTGTAAGTTCACAACTGGGAAGCTGAAATCATCTCTTTTGTCATAAAGTTTATAAAGTATAGACGGGTTTACCTGTAATTGAAATAGAAAACATGGGCGCATCCATTAACCTCTCACGTGACCGATCCGCCATTACAACCGTGAAAAATAACGCACGTGTATTGATCAAAACATTATCGATTTTCTGTTTACATTTGTATTTCTTTCATTTTCTGATTTATTTTACTAAGGATGCTGCCGAAAGTTATAAAAAACATGGAAGCATTGCTTGTGCAATTAATAGTTGTACAAATAACCGTAAAAAACTTCAGGTGTGGAAAAAATCAATATGCGAATTACACAACGAGTTGCACAATTACTGCCCTCGTTTGATTCCATATACGTCTTATGTGATACCTTCAGACGAGCCAACAAACCTGAGTGGATCAAAGCCGTATAAACATAAAAAAAACTTTGCATAAACAGGTTTTTGTATGGTCCGGACATTTTTTTTTTGGATGATGCGCCACTGCACACAATCCGTTTTTTTTTGTTAAATAAAACTTATTATGAAAGTAAAATAACACTGGCCGACGAATGTTTACACGTTGTTAAACGACTGTTAAAAACTTAAATTAATCTATAAAATTTAATCCGATGACTACATTGCATCTGCCTCTTTTTGGATAGAAGATCCACCGCGACATCAGATGCGGATCCAGGATTTTGAAAAAAGAGGGGAGGGCGCGTGCCCCAAACTTTTGTAGTGGAAGCGGTAAAATGTCTGGATTAACCATAGATGAAGCTAATAACAATGAAACCTACCCCGAGGCTACATGTAGTTATAATTGCAAGCAAATCAACCCAGTGTGAAGAGACGAACTTTTTTCATTCATGACGACTTCTATAGTATCTTTATGCTGCAAAATGGACAG